GTTACCTGCGGCGAAGTGCAGCGGCGTGGACTTCCTGCCCGCCGTGTCGCGGCTGTTCACCTTCTCGGGCGTCACCAGCCTCTTGACTCGCTCCACGTCCCCGTTGCGGCAAGCCTCGAACAGCTCGCGGGCGGACGGCTCCACGGCCTCGGCCACCGCGCTCGCGCAGGCCGCGCCCCCGCCGGCGCAGCGGCGACCAGACATGATCCTGGCCGCCGCCGCCAGCAGCAGCGCCAGCAAAGGCAGCAGGAGCCCCGGCCCCGCGAGCAGGAGGGCGAGGCCCCCCGCGGGAGACGCGCTCAGGGCCCGGGCCGCTCGCCTCCCTGCTGTCACCAGGGCCGGCGCAGTGCCATGGCCGCGCCGCCGCGCGCCCCCTGCTCGGCTCCGTGACCCCCGGCGGCCCCACCGCGGCGGAGGCAGCGCAACCCCGCCCGCCGAGCCCCGGAGCGACGCTGCGGCGGAAGCTGCCGAGACCGCCTGCCAGCTCCGTCGGGGCCTGGGAGCGCGCGTGACGTCGGCTCGCGCGTGCGCAGTGGCTGCCCGGGCTGGGCGAGCGGGGCCGCGCGGAGGGGTTTGTGGGAAATGTGCAGCCAGAGCCCTTGGTTGCGGGAAGAGAAGGGGCTTCTGCCCACCGCCATCTTTGCGGGGGCCTCTGCTGAAAGCGAGAGGGCTTGCAGCCTTTTCTTTTTCTCCAAGCGTAGACTTCCCGAGATGAGTTTCATTGCTCAGACACCGGAAACGAACCTTTGCCGGTTGTGTTCTGGTTATGCTTTTTCTCTTGCAAGGTTTTGTGTGGAAATGTTCTGCATTTCTGCTTCCATACTTTCCCCTGGGAGATTGCTGCTCCACCTCTCCCGCCCGCTTTCTTTACAGTGTCTCTTCACATAAACCTCCGCATCTGCTTTTGTTTTTCTTATAAGCCTCTTCTCAGAAATGAACCCGTTGCTCTTACTGAGAAGTTTGGATGAACAGCCCCAAGATGAATCAAGAAAGCGGTGAAAGTTAATCTCAATTCTAAAGCAACAATTGAAGGACGGGGGTGACTCTGGTTAGCAACATTTCCCATAGTAAATTATTAGCTCAGCGGTGACTAGAGGATCTGTATATAAGTCAGTATTATACCGGATGAGCAAGCACATCAAGAAAGTTTTCTGAAGTTTTTTTTTTTTTTTTTTTTTTTTTCTTCTCCCTGTGATCAAAGAAAAAAAGCACACAGTTCATTTTTATGCTTAAGGTAGAAGTGACATTTTTGTGTATAAGCTTGGTTTGGGAAGCCGAAAGAAAGGTATATATAGATTTTGCTTTCATGAAAGTGCTGGCCTTTGGCATGCTCACAAGCATTTCCCCCTGTGAATTGACTTAACCTGTTTTTCAGGAAATCCAGGTTTTGTTTGGAAGTGTTGACTCTGCTGTGGGAGAAAAGCGGTACACATTTTGAGCGTTTTAGCAAATGCGAGCATTGTTATATATTCCTTCCCTAATCATGTTCTTAAGCTATTTAGTGTACATTGGTGGCATATTAATACAATGAATAAAACAATATTAATATGATTGCCTCATTTTTCTTCATTTCATCTACTTGCCATATACATTCCCAATTTTAGTCATTTCTGCTATGTATTTCCTTCCAGTATGTGTATCTGAAACAACATAATGCTGGTACAGCAAACACTTTACCCACTGATCTCCAGCCCTAACTTCTTTTTAGCCTTGGCTGTCCTGGACTTGCTTTGTAGACCAGGCTGGCCTCGAACTCACAGAGATCTGCCTGCCTCTGCCTCCTTGTGTGCTGGGATTACAGGTGTGTGCCACCCACTCCCCTTATTTATTTAGTTTCAAACATCATACGATTACTAGAGAAATGCAGTTGAAAACCACATTAAGATGGACAAACAGAACAAAACAAATGTTGGTAAGATAGGACAAATTAGAATTATTTTTCACTCTTGATCATAAATTATGTATTTGTTATAGAAAACAGTTTGGTAGTTCCTCACAAAACTAAACATATTGGTACTGGAGCGATGGTTCAGTGGGGTTAAGAGTACTGTCTACTCTTCCTAGGACCTGGGTTCAATTCCCAGCATCCACATGGTGGCTCACAATCATAGCTGCAGTCTTGGTATCTGTCACCCCATGTGGTACAGAGAAAATGCCCAAGTGCAAAATTAATTAATTAAAGAATTAAACATAAAGCTACCATCCTATCTACTGCTGAAAGGAGAATCTCAATCATTTCCACAATCATGCTCATTATACAATTACTCACAAAAGCAAAGAGCTACAAATAATCCCGATTGTCCCATGAATGGATGATTATGAAATGTGATAAAAGCATGTCAGTGAGGTAACACTCAGCCTTCAAAACAAAAGGAATCCCATCACATGCCTCAACATAGGGGATTAGGTAGGATATAATATTAAGTAAGATAATCCAGTTAACAAAGAAAAAATTAGGTTCACTTGTTTTCATTCAGAGAGCTGCCTTAGCAAAATACCAAATAGATGGTTTAAATTCCTTTTTTTTTTTTTTATAAAAAAAAAAGTTAAGATGTTGGATGGTTTGGTTTCTTCAAAACCTTTTTCCTTGGCTTATAGATGGCTACCTCTATACCCTCACTGTACCCTCACATGATCTTTCCGCTACATGCACATCCTGGTTTCTTTACCATGTTCAAGCTTCTTCATTGTTTAAGGATCCCAGTCAGCTTGGATTGTAGCTCACCTTGTATGACTTTTATAGTTGTCCTGGCTATATAAATATATAAATAACAGGTGTGGTTCTTCTGTGGCAATTTCCTCAGAAATAAAACATTCCATCTTAGAAGGAAGCTCCTCAAGACACAGGATGATCTAAGGGGAATAAAACATTTTTTTAAAGGAAACTCCTTAAGCTCAGGAAGTCTGGGACATGAACAACTGGTTATCTTCAGGAAGTCTCTGAAACTGATGAGATTCTGAGGCTCCCTCCTTCCCCAAGCATATAAAAGCTGTAAGAACAATGTGGTGGTTTGAATAAGAATTTCCCCAATAGACTAATATATTTGAATGCTTAGTCATCAGAGAGTGGCACTACCTGAAGAAATCAGAGGTGTGGCCTTATTGGAGTAGATGATCTTGTTGGAGGAAGAGTGTCACTGGGGGTGGGCTTTGAAGGTTTTAAAAGTCCATGCTGGGTCCAGTGCAGCTCTCTTCCAGATGCCTGTGGATCCAGGTTGTAGAGCCTTCCTCTACTTCTCTAGCACTGTCTTCCTACCTGCTGCCATGCTCCCTACCATGATGAAAATGAACCTCTGAAACTGTAAGCTAGCACCAATTAAATGCTTTCTTTTATAAGAGTTCCATGGTCATGGTGTCTCTTCACATCAAAAGAACATGAAGACAAACATGATGTCTAGGGGAGGCTCAGGCCCTCCTAGGGTCTATCTAAAGACATTTTCTGACCCGTTGAGCATCCTGCACATTGTATAGTGAGCTTCAGATCTCCAGCTTTCATGAGTGGTCAACCATGATTGTGTAGGATTTTGGTGAAGCAACTGTCTTCTGAGTTGTTTCTGCCCCTGTAAGTGACCTCTAACCCATACTGCTATAAGTAATCCTCCTTTGTTGGCTTGCCAAGTTTGATTTTGGTAGAACCCTTATTTTGGTCTATGTGTTCACGTCTCCCTAGGAATGGTGTCACACCATAGTAGCCCTGTAATAATTTATTTTAAACTGCCACACACAACAGATCTGGTATGAAGAGATTTATTGTGTGGAAGTGGAGAGAGAAGAGATATAGGAGGAGGGGGCCACCCCAGACACAGGGAAGGGGAGAGAAACTGAGGCAGAGAGAGCATGCAGTGACCAGTCAGTCCTTTATAGCTGGTGCGCAGCTGAAGCCAGTTTGCCACACACCTGGCGGTGGCAGGTGACGACGTCAGGGTGCTAGGCAACCTAGGAGTGGGCTAGAGCATGGGCTTGTAAACTAACAAGCCCCATTGTTGGTGTTTGCCTAGCATGCGTGGCACCCTATGCTCCCATGTCTAGCACTGAATAAGCAAAGTGTGTCAGTGTCTGCCCAAAATGTCAGCACTCAGGAGACAGAGACAAGAAATTCAGAAGTCCAAGGTTTCCTGAAGCTCTACCACAAGTTGGGTGCCAGCCTAGGATACATGAGATAGCGTCTTTAAAACAAACAGCAAAACAAACAAATGAAAAAGAACTTTATCTCTTAAACCCCTTTCTCCAAACACAGTCACATTCTGAAGCACTAGCGATTAGGGCTTCAACATAGATAGTGAAGGGGCATGATTCATAACACATATAAAATAGTCAAACTGACAGAATAACTAACTGTTAGGCACGAAATGGGACTATTTACATGGCCATAGAGTGTCTTCATTAGGGTTTCTATTGCTTCAACAAAACACCATGACCAAAAAGCAAGTTGGGGAGGAAAGGATTTATTCAGCTTACATTTCTTTATCACTGTTCATCATCATTTGACGTCAGGACAGGAACTCAAGCAGAGCAGGAACCTGGAGGCAGGAGCTGATGCAGAGGCCACGGAGGAGTGCTGCTACTGGCTTGCCCCTCATGGCTTGCTCAGCCTGCTTTCTTATAGAACCCAGGACCACCCGCTCAGGCATGGCTCCACCCACAATGAGCTTGGCTCTCTTGATCACTAATTGAGAAAATGCCTTACAGCTGGATCTCATGGAGGCATTTCCTCAACTGTAGCTCCTTCCTCTCTGATGATACTAGCTTGTGCCAAGTTGACACACAAAATCAGGCAGTACAAAGAGTTTCAGTTTTATAGGATGAAAAGGTTCTAGAGATCAACAGATTACGTAACAACAAAGTTAAATTATAAACCTGAAAATGGTGAAGATGGGGGTGTGTGTGCAAAAAAGTTGACTACTTCAGTCTACGTATGATACAGATACTGCAGTGTGAGGCTCAGAGTCTGATCCCTAGGGGAGTGAGGAAAGAAAAGAGGGAAAGAGAGAGAGAGAGAGAGAATATACTGGGGGTTTAGTATTTCATAAATATTAATTCCTTTCCACAGTTCTGGATACTAGGAAGTCTGACTAGGGTACTGGTAGACACGGTGTCTTTCCTGTGTGAGGCCTGTCCAGTGTTTCTGCCATGTCATCTTGTTAGGTAATCTAGGGAGGGGTAAACCAAACTGAAGTGTGCTCATGAGAAAGAAGAGTTACAGGGCCACTCTGACTCATGGTGTGGGGGCTGTGTGCGCCACCATGATGAGAAAATATGGTGATGGAGAGGTGGGAAAGATAGAAAAATAGGGCGGGGCACGCACTGTGGAGAGAAGCAGAACTGGAGCTGTGATGGCGGTGACAGGTGAGAGCGAGGGCTGAGGTGGCTGGGTAGGGTTGGTAGGCTGGTGTGCAGCACAGCCTGGAGCTTATGCAAATGAACTCAGCCTCTGAACCTTCTGCCCTGCCGAGGGTTTCCCCTGGCTCTGGGCAACAGTGAAGGCCCAGATAAGGAAAGGTTCGCTTTCTGGACTGGACCTCCTTGGAGGATCACCATGGTTCTCCATACCACTGGGGGCCATGTTGGTGTCTGTGGTCCATGCAGCTGCTCCAGGTCCCGATGAAGCCTGAGATCCACGTGGAGGTATGCACCTCGATGACTGATACCTTAGTGATGGCCTTGGGCTTTGCTGCCTTGGGGCCATGCTGATGTAAGTGGCATGTGTCACCACCTGAGGTCATGTTGAGGCCCATGATCTGTGCAGCCTCTGAGAGCCAGGAGTGGGTCGCTAGTCCTGATCCAGCCAGGGGCCAGTTGCTGTCTGTGGTCCGTGTTGCCGCCTAAGCACATGTGGATGTCACTGGTCTAGGCTGCTTCCTGAAAACATGTTCAAGTCCACAGACGCAGTCCGCTCCTTTCTAGCCTTCTCACAGCTTTTTGCAGTTGATGGCTTCTGGCATGGATGAAGACAGAGAAAGACTCATCCTTCCATGTGGGATTAGCCACTGGAAATTTGACCATGCTCCATTGAGTATATGGATAATGCAAACTGGACTTCTTTTGTTGTTGTTGTTCGGGGAGGAGGTCAGAGGGGAGGTGGGGCAGACTTGGGAAGACTGGGATGTGAGCATGATCTGGTTGCATGATGTCAGATTCCCAAATAAGCAATTGAAATAGAAAAAGAAGGGCTGGGAAGGTGGCAGAATGCTATCAAGCTATCTGTGTGGTTTGAATGTGAAATGTCTCCCACAGGCAGATGTGTTTGAACACTTGGTCTGGAGCTGGTGGCACTGTCTGAGAAATCCATAGACCCTAGTAGGAACGGGTGTGCCTCGCTGGAGGACGCGGGTCACTGGAAGTGGTGGTAAGGTTTTTTAGCCTAAACCCGTCTCCTGGTCTTTCTGTTGCCTGTTGGTGGAGATAGTGAGACCAGCGGCTTCCTGCTCTTGCTGCCATGCCCTCCTTGAGGGACTGTATCCCCTTGAACTAAGCCAAAATAAACCCTTCTGCTCTTAGGCTTCTTGTGAAGCGTTTTGCAACAAGAAAAGTAACTAATGCAGACATTTGGAAGTAAGAAATGGGCCCAGTGCAGTGATGGACTTGACCCTGTGGTTCTTAGGCGTTTGGAACTGACTCGCTGAAGGAATTGGAGGAATGTGGAACTTTGGGTAAGAAAAACTCTAGAAGTCTGTGAGCAGAGTTTGGTGGGTCATTCTGCTCCTGTAAGAAACCGCCTCACCTTGTGAGAATTCATTTTATCAAAAAGAACAGAGCCTGAACTGAGAATGCAGGTGTGAGAGCCAGCCAACAAGGCATACAGAGACCCCTACGGCAGTGGTTCAAGGGACTAGGTTCAGTCCCAAGCTAGAAAGAGAACTTTGGTACTGGTTTTTCTGGCCTGAATGACACATGATTGAGGGGGGTGTGGATGCTTCCTCCATGGTTCCTGCCAGTATCCGCAGTCCGTCAGTGTCTGACCCCTAAAAGGACTCCCTGAGACCCACTGGGGTAAAGCTGGAAAAGACAAGATGGGGTTGCAACAGAGTTGCTAGAATGATACAGTTGCAACAGAGTGCCAGAACAGTACAGATGCCAGAATCATGGGTCCCCTGTGGAGGAAAGCTGTAGGCACAGAGTTGAGTTTGTCTGAGAGGGAGGCTGCAGATGGCAGGGCTGAGGGGAAAAGCCACCCAACTCTTTAGAACTCAGATGATTTTAGCATAAATCCAGGATGCTGGATGCAGAATTTGGTGTTTTCCCTGCTGGCTTTTGCTCTTGTTTTGCCTAACTCTCGCTGTTACGCCCCATCTCTTCATTTTAGAGCATGAATGCCTACTCCATGCCATTATGCATTGGAACTTTATAACTTTGTAAATTTTTAATGTTTCAGGGGCTCACAGTTAGAAATTGCACTGAGCCTCATAAGAGACTGGGCTTAGACCTTTTGAATAGTGTTAGGACTGATAAAAGTCCCCTGTAGGGGCTTTTGACGTTGAATGTATTTTGCACCATGGAATGGCTTTAAGGCGATGGGTACCAGAACGTTATGATTTGAATGTGAAATGTTCCCCGTAGGTTTACAAATTTGGTCTCCTGCTAATGAATGATGCTGAGAGTGGAAGGTTGGAGGTTAGGAGGTGAGCTCTTGCTGCAGGAAGTGTGGGTCACTGAGGGTGCCTTGAGGTTATAGAGTGGCCCAAAAATTTGGTCTTTCTCTGCTTCCTGCGTATGAGATGTGGTCAGCTGCATCTGTTATAGCCGTCACGCCTTCCCCACCTCAATGGACTATATCCCTTCAAACTATAACCCAAACCAACTCCCCCCTTAGATTATTTCTTTTTAAAATTTGTAATATTTTTATTAGTTTTTGAGAACTTCATACATGCATATAATCTCAATCCTAACTCTTCCTGAAGCTGCTCCAGCCTTTTCCAACTTTGTGTCCTCTTTTGCTTTGTTTTAAAAATATTTTTAGGTTATAATATAATTATGTCGTTTCTTCCTTCTTTTTCCTCCCTTCAAACCCTATCAAGCACTTCCCCCTTGCTCTCCCTCAAATTCATGGTCTTTATTTCTTTAATTGCTGTTATGTTTCTGTGGGTATGTGTATGTGTTCATAAATACATAAAAACACCTTCTCAGTCTGCATACTGTTACTTATATGTATGTGTTGCTTCTTGCTTTTCTTCCTCTCCTCCTCCCCCTCTTCTTCTAAGTTGAATCTACCAGTCCACTTTGTGGTACCTATATACTCGTGGGTGTGGGGTCATTCACTGGAGCATGGTTAAGTCCGCTATTTTAAAGAAAACCCTTTCCATTCTTAGAAGCTACCAGTCATCAGAAGCACCTCAGCTCAAGTGGGCTTTGTGAGCCTTGCTCCTTTCCGTGTGACTGTTGACGGCCACCTTCCAGCAGTCTGGTTTATCTTGTGCAGGTTGTCCGCAGACAACCACGGCTGCTATGAACTCAAGGACACAGAAGCCCTGCCATGCGTAGAAGACGCCGGCCAGAGTCCTGCCTAACATACCAGGCTAAAGGTTTTCTGCTCCCTCCTTGGTGATGCCGCCTGTGCCTGGGGGAAGAGGGTGTGATACAGGTGCCTCATTTGTGGTTAAGCAGGCCACAGACTCTTTTTCTCTGCACTTTGACCAGCTGTATGTTTCTAAGTTGACTACCATCCACCACAAAAAGAAATTTCTCTGATGAGCTCTGATAGCTGCACTAAAATAGAGAAACACATTTAGAGGGCAGTGTGACACTGTGTCCACTTAGTAAAGTAATAGTAGTTTCACCCCTGGGGCCCATGAGCTCCCCACCTGTTGGTTAGTGGCCAGATTTACAACACATTGAAGGAAGAATGTGTTTCCTTCTGTAGAGTAGGGCTGAAATCTAAGCAGAAAGCAGCTGGGTTACTCCTCTAATATCTATGCTACTGTTGTACCCATGAGCATGTCTTGCCATGCTGATAATTACTGTAGCTGATGGGGTTCACAGCTGGCTAAGACTGATGTTTTTTCCTCTAGCATCTTGCATAGTACCATTCAGCACTGGGAAAGCAGGGAGGAAGCTTCTTGGTCAGTACCAACTTGATTTCTTCATATCCTGTGACCAAAGAGTGTGGTATCTTTGGTGTCTTCAAATAGGGTCTTATAATCAAGTTCTGGTGGGCAACCAAGAGCAATGGTAATAGTTGTGTAATTTGGGGGATATCTGAGACATGCCCTTGTACTGCTTCTTGTCAAATGCTTTGTCACAATGGAAAGAGTAACTAATTACTTTTTTTTTCTTAATTACTTTCTCCCAGATCACTCATTTTATTACTCTTGCATTGAGTATTAAGGTTCAACACAAATTTTGGAGATGATGTTAGCATTCAGATTACAGCAGTAGCTCTTCATGTATTTACAATCTCTTTATAGTTATTCTTTAGTAAAATACCAATTTGTCTCCTGTTTATTTTATTTTTTTTCAAGACAGGGTTTCTCTGTGTAGCCTTGGCTGTCTTGGACTCACTTTGTAGACCTCAAACTCACAGAGATCTGTCTGCCTCTGCCTCTCCCAGTGCTGGGATTACAGGCATGCACCACCACACCAGATTCCTGTTCAGTTTTTACTCAGTTTGCTGTTTGTTGTTTTTAGGAATCCTTCTTAAATTTTGGATGCCAATCCTTCACAGTTATATTTGTGGAAAATATATTTTCCCAATTCGTAATTCATTCTTTTTTCACTTTCTCAATGAGAAGATGTCTCAGTTTTAATGTAGTTGAGTTTATAATATTTTCTTGTAGAGTTTGTCTCTGTTAAGGATTTTTCATTACTCTAAGGTCATAAAGATAAAATTTTCCTCTGGGCGGATATGCCAAGGTCATAAAGATCTCATTTCCTTCTAGGCTGGCAAAATGGCTCAGTGGTAAAGGCTCTCACAGACAAGCCTGAGAACTTGAGTTTAATCACTAAGTGGAAGGAGAGAACCTTACCACAAGCTATCCTCTGACTGCTATACCTACGCTGTGGTACACGTACATATGCCCTTGTCTCCCAAATAAGTAAATAAATACATGGTTTTAAAAGATTTAAAAATATTGTTATGAGCTCTAATTTTTTTCCAGAAGTAAAAATTTCCCTTTTATACTTAAATTATTAATTCTTATGAACTTGATTTTGGAGTATAATATGACATAAGTATTTATTTTTCTTTATATTTTTTCTACAATAATAAGAAAATCTTCTAGCACCACTTATTAAGTTGTCCCATCTTTTTGTTTTGTTTTGAGACAGGGTTTCTCTGAGTAGCCTTGGCTGTCCTGAACTCGCTTTGTAGACCAGGCTGGCCTTGAACTCACAGAGATCCTCCTGCCTCTGCCTCCCTGAGTGCTGGGGTTACAGGGGAAGTGCTCCCATCGAAAGCAGACTGCTGCAGGGCCACGTAATGCTTCCACAGATGCAGAACTCTGACCCAGATGGCTCCAATAATTGACCTGAACATCCTTCTGCCAACACGTCAACCTAATATTTAACAGCCCTCACTGATCACTACTATTAATAACCATGCAATAATGTTAAAATTTTTTAAATTTAAAAAGTTTACTGAAAAATAAGCAAGCAACCAATTATTTCTAAACAAGATGCTTAATTTCTTTTTTGTCAAAGATCAAGGCATTAGACACTAAGTAACAAAACTTAGCAGGTGGAAGAAGCCATTGTATCATCTAGTAAAGTCCATTAAACAGATTTTATCTTTACCTACCTTTGCTGTTGGAGATATGATATAAACAAAATACCAACTATGAGAGGCTGTAGCCACACTCTTCTATGTATTAAATCATTTAATTTTTATAAATGAGTAAGGGCTTTTTTTTTCACAGCCTTGTTTATTACTATTCTATTTACTATAGTGAGGAAATGGGACATATTCAGTTCTCAGCACCCACATGGCAATTCACAACTGTCTGTCACTCCAGTTCTAAGGGATTCAACACCCTCATACTAAGGCACATAAAATAAAATTAAATAAAAATTTAAAATGTATTTATTATCTTAAAAAAATACATTAAATGAGGTCACCCAAACTTGGAAAAAGAAAACCCAACCACGTTCTTTCTCCTATGCAGCTCCTAGCTTATGTGAATACATACATACCTGAGCAGCTGTTAATGTGGGTATAGCAAAACATTTAGAAAGGAGACCAAGAAAGGATAACATTGGACAATGAGGAAGGATGGAATGCAGACAAAAGAACACATGAGCAATGAAAGAAGATTTGAAGCTAAGCAACTTTTTTCTCTTAAAGTTACTTATTTTCATTTTATGTATACGGCTGTTTTGCTTGCATGTATGTGTACCATGTGGGCACAGTGCCCGTGGAGGCCAGAGGAGGGCGTTGGATCTCTAGGAACTGGAGTTACAGACACTGTGAATCACCATGTGGGTGCTGGGAATCCAACCGGCACCCTCGGAAAGAGCAGCCAGCGCTCTTCAATGCTGAGCCGGTGTTCTGGATCCTACGCGTCTTTTTTTTTTTTTTTTCGTTTTTCTTTTGGGAGGGATAAGTATATAAAAATATAATTCATAGTGAAAGTGTGAACTACAAGTGAAGCTCAATGGTTTCATTCAAACTATTTAGAAGTGCATATTGCAGTGGCTACCTTAATCTAGTTCCATTCTCTGTATGTTTAAATATGTAAAACATCATGTATATAACATATGCTTGTGTGTAATATATATGATACAAATCCTTAAAAATTTACAACAAATATGCATGCATATAAAAGATACACACTCCTTAAATTTTTATTTTATGTGCACGTGTGTACTTGAATATATGCCTGTGCCCACCATGTGTGCCATACAGACTCAAAAACCGCTCATCCACATAAAATAAACGAATCCAAAACAGAAAGAGAGAGAGAAAGAAAGAGAAGATAAATTGATTTCAAGACCTGGAGAAAGGGCCCAACAGTTAAGAGCACTTACTGTTCTTGCTGAGGATCCATGTTCGGTCCTCAGCAACCATGCCAGGCAGCTTATAACTACCTGCAATGCCAGCTCCAGGGTTCTGACACCATCTTATGGCCTCCAAGGATACCTGAATGCACACGGAGCATGGAAACTCATGCAGGCAGATTTATTATATTATATACATGTAAACAGTACATTTGAAAATGTTACCAAAAGTTCTCTTCCCTATTTTGAGAGCACATTTTTAACATATTGTTCTTTCCCCCCAGTGTGAAGGCATAAAAAGAAAAGCATAGGTTGATGCTCGTATAAGAATGTCTATTAAATGACAGCACGTGTGGGCCTACCTCTGTAAAACCTAAGGTTGAAAATTTCCAACTCCCAGAAGCTGGCACAGCTCTGACACTTCTTGGTGAAGGGCGCCACCTAGTGGAAGTAGTGTACAAATGGCTCAGCAAATAAAATGAATGTGAGCGCTCAGCCCAAAGTGCAAACTGCAATGTTGATTTATTGACTATTAAAGAGAAAGGCTGGGCCGGGTATGCTGGCGTATACAAAGCTTTGCCCAGCACGCAGGAGGCAAAGGAAGGAGGATCTCTGTGAGTTCAGGGCCAGCCTGGCCTACATAGTGAGTGCTAGATTAGACAGGGCTATATATCTTGTCTCAACAAGACAAAACCATAAAAAGAAGGGCTTGGGTATGTAGCTTAGTAAAAAAGTGGTTGCCTGGCATGTGTACTAAAAGATAAAGCAAAACCCCAAAGCAGTAAGAAAAACAAACAAACAAACAACAACAACAACAAAAACCCCAAGAATCAAAACAACAAAACAAAATCCAGATTCAGATACTACTTATCTTCTGTCTGGATCTGGAAGTGGAGAGAGCAGAGGGCAGGTCGGGGTGGGGGTAGGGTGAGCATTGGCCTTTGTTCCCTGTTCAGGTAGTAGAGCGCCACTAGATTAGAGAACAGCAAACTCCAATTCGCCAATTTGCATTGCTTCTGGTCTGCATTGACTGTTCTCTAAAGCGGCAGGAAGAGGCTAACTTTGTAGATCAGAGTGTTAGTCGCTTTTCTTATTTCTGTGGCAGAATATTTGGCAGAGACCACTGGAGGATGGAAGGGGGAGGGGAGGCACTGAGACCGCCGGGTCTGTGGTCCTGCGTCTTCCCGAGCATCTTGTTTACAGCATTTATCGTGGTTGACGTTGAACGCAGGGTGTTGCTCTTCCTAGGCCCGTGGTTCTCAACCTTCCTAATGCTGTGACCCTTTAACACAGTTCCTCATGTGGTGGTGACCCCCACCAACCATAAAATTACTTTTGTTGCTATCACATAACTGTAATTTTGCTACTGTTATGAACTGTAATCTAATTATCTGTTCTCCCATGGTCTTAGGTGCCCGCCTCCCAGAGGGGTCATGACCCACCAGTTGAGAACCACCCTTCTAGGCAGCTGCTCAGTTCATTCCCAGCCATTAACTGTTGAGGTCCGTTCATCACTCACTGGGGCTTTACACTTCAATTCTTAAACTTTAGGCTTAAAATTTTATTAGCATTTTAGTAACAAGGGCTATTAAAATGATTAAATGTGACAGGTTTGGTGACGGGTGCTTGAGCTAGATCAGATTTTTATATGCAGTCTTTTTGTTTTCTTCTAAATCAGAACTAATTCACAGTTGTGGGTCGTCAGTCATGGAGGAGGGCTGCAGCTCTCGCTCACCCGGAATGTGGAAACTCCTGGGTTTCATATTTAACACTAAGAAAGAAAGGAGCACAAATTTTGGCAAACTTTCATAATTTTGGACTTTTGGATTGAATGTGAAGCCAGAAATTTGGGAGGATTTTTCCCCCCCTGAGCTACACCTGGCTGTGTGTAGCTCTAAGAAAGAGTTTTGATGTTCTGTTGTAGAGCTTGATTGTATTTTTAGTTTATGAGTGTTGCTATTATTGCTACATATAACGTGTTCATTTTGGCATGTGTGATTCGGTCCACGTGTGGAGTCTGAGGATATCTTTGCAGAGGCCTTCTGCCTTTGCACTGGTTCCAAAGATGGAACTAGGGACAGCAGGCCACGAGAAGAATGTGCCAGCCACTGGACCATCTCACTGGCCCTGGCTGTAGTTTTAAAGTATGCCTCATGTACTCTGGATTTTCCTTCTTTCTTAACAAATGATGCACCTGTCTCTTGAATAATTTTTATAATCATTCTTCTTTCTTATGGTAGGCAGAGACAGGTGAACCTCTATGGGTCCAAGGCCAGCCTGGTCTACATAGTAATTATCAGGACAGTCAGGACTA